ACAAATAGCATTGTGCCTGACACATGAAAGAAGCAAACAATAAATTGACTCTTTCACCAGAGTTTGGGCTAATCCCTGATTGGCCCAAGATGATCAACATAATCTCATTCATCTTGCAGAGTGATTGAGTCAGTATTGGGTACATGAACTTGACTGGTTTAGAGTGGCTTGCAGGACTGCAGATGATGTGGTCTCAGGCATGAGGCTTGGAATTGCAAGAGCTTTTTCTTTTTTCCTTTTCTTTCTTTCTTTTTTTTTTAACTAGAGGAAAGTCGGCTTGGGGACAAAGCTGACACATGCAGTAAGAAAGAACTGAGAAAAGCAAAGGAACTAGAACCAGAGGCTTGATCAGATATCTCCTGAAATCCCATTGACCTCTGGAATTTTCATTGGTTGAGCCAATTAAACATTTGGAGAGCCAAGTACAGTGGTGTATGCCTATAGTTGCCGGTAGTCCCAGCCACTCAAGAGGCTGAGGTAGGAGGATCACTGGAGCTCAGGAGTTTGAGTCCAGCCTGGGCAACAGCCTGTCTCTAAAAAAAGAAATAAAAATGCATACTTTTAAGTCAGGTGGGGTGGTGTGCACCTGTAGTCCCAGCTACTCAGGAGGCTGAGGCAGGAGGATTGCCTACGGCCAGGAATTTGAAGGGATAGTGCACTATGATCAGGAAGAGCTCCTGCACTCCAGCCTAGGCAACATATGAAATCCTGTTTCAAAAAATAAATTGGTATTTAAGCTGATTTGTTAGTTTCCTGAATCATCTGCAACTGAAAATACCCTCAATATCCTCGTTGATATTGTACATTATTATTCTTGTCATCTTCCCATGTATATCAAACCTTCGTCGTTAGATCATAATGTCCTTTGGAACAAAAACGAACTTCCTGAGTAGTATGTTGCTGTTCCACCTAGTACAGATCTGGCACGTAGCAGGTTCTTGTCCATTCACACTTTCTTTCAGGTATTCATTTCCCTTTCATATCTATGGACTTGGAGCATTTTTTTTTTTTTTTTTTTTGAGACAGAGTTTCACTCTGTCACCTAAGCTGGAATGCAGTGGGGCAATCTCGGCTCACTGCAACCTTCGCCTCCCAGGTTCAAACCATTCTCCTGCCTCAGCCTCCCAAGCAGCTGGGACTGCAGGCATGCACTACTATGCCTGGCTAATTTTTGTGGGTTTTTTTGTTTTTGTTGTTTTTTTGAGATGGAGTTTCCCTCTTGTTACCCAGGCTGGAGTGCAATGGCGCGATCTCGTCTCTCCGCAACCTCTGCCTCCTGGGTTCGAGCAGTTCTCCTACCTCAGCCTCCTGAGTAGCTGGGACTACAGGCGCGCACCGCCATGCCCAGCTAATTTTTGTATTTTTAGTAGAGACGGGGTTTCACCTTGTTGACCAGGATGGTCTCGATCTCTTGACTTCATGATCCACCCACCTAGGCCTCCCAAAGTACTGGGATTATAGGTGTTGGCCACTGCGCCCGGCCAATTTTTGTGTTTTTAGTGGAGACAGGGTTTCACTATGTTGGCCAGGCTGATCTCAAACTCCTGACCTCAGGTGATCTGACCACCTCGGGCTCCCAAAGTGCTGGGATTATAGCCGTGAGCCACTGTGCCTGGCCCAAACTTTGAGCATTTATTTTATTATTTTTTTTTTTTGAGACGAAGTCTTGCTCTGTCACCAGGCTGGAGGGCAGTGGTGTGATCTCAGCTCACTGCAACCTCCGCCTCCCAGGTTCAAGCCATTCTCCTGCCTCAGCCTCCCAAGAAGCTAGGGCTACAGGCATGCACCACCACTCCTGGCTAATTTTTGTATTTATAGTAAAGATGGGGTTTCACCATGTTGGCCAGGCTGGTCTTGAACTCCTGACCTTGTGATCCACCTGCCTCATGCTCCCAAAGTGCTGGGATTACAGCTGTGAGCCACTGTGCCCGGCCCAGACTTTGAGCATCTTAAAGCAGAAACAGGAGGTGGCCAGAGTCCCAGATAGGGTGATGGCCTGCTGCTGCTTTGTCTTCTTACTGTCTATAATGAGAAGAAAGTAAAATACTTAATAGATTAGCTCACCCTTATTGAGCACCAGGCATTGTACACACAGGATCATCTGTTTTCCTATCAGTTACCTGTGGGTATATTATTAATGCCTTGTGTCGCAGATTGGACATTTATGCTCAACAGTGATATTACCTACGTAGATTACGCGGCCTCTACATAGCATAATTTAGGATGCTGCACTGAAATTACTGTATCCACAACTTTTTTCTCATTCTACTTTAAAGAAAATGAAATTAGAAGTCTTAGATCGTGCATTCCGTGTATGGCTTACACATGAAAGATGGGGTACAGCTCTAATCAGAAGACCCATACTAAAAAACCTTGAACTGCTGTCAAGAAACAAATGTACCTCAACTTTAAGTAAAATGTTTATGGCATGTATGATTCACTTTTTATGACTTCCCACTTTCCCAACATTTTCAGATAACTCACTATTTTCCCAGTCACATCAGAGAGATCTTTACGGCTTTCTTTCTGAAACACAACAGTCTAAAAATCTAAATAGGATCGTGCCACACCTATTGTTCCGTGACTTGACTTTTCTCAGCTAAGAATAATCTCTTGGAATCTTTCCATGTCTGTACATGTAGATTGACTTCATTCAATGTAAATGCAGAACGCTTTTCAATAGCAAGGATATGCCATCATTTTACGACTTCCCACAATGAATGGGCATTTGGGGCCGCCTCACCAGTCGTTTGCTTTTATACATCATGTGCCGTCAGCACTGTTGCACTTGCTCTTTTATGCATTCGAGTGCCAGTGGAAGGAAAGAGATCCTGAAGGCTTGATTCTATCAATTAAGTGGTCCAAGAATGAGAATGAGCATCTCAAGGTCTCCACCTTCAACAGCCTTACAGTCTGGAGGGGAACAGACACACACATCGCTTTTACTTAGGGAGATGGGGGTCAGCTAAAGGTTAAGGGAGTGCAGGAAGAGGGAGACTGAGGGGCTCTGTTGAGGGGATGCCTGAGAAGGCTGCCTGGAGGAGGTGTGCTTGAGTCCCGGGTTCAAGGGTCAGAGGGCTCTGACGCTTGGTCTGCTAATCTTTCTTATCATGTCGTTGCTTGGCAGTGTGCCTGTTAGTTGACCATCTGATGTTCTTGGACCATCTGCTTGGATGAACAGGGGCAGAGGTGGAAAGGTAGGGTGCTCGGGACAAAAGTGACAAAGCCCAGGAACAACAATGGGAAGGTGCACAGTGTGCCCAGAGGGCCAGGAATTGGGTGGAGTGACTGGCTCCTTGGTCACTTTCGAATAGCATGAGAATGGAGGGGGCTGGGGGCATGCTCTAAAAAGCACCCAGGAGGAATTTAGGTTTGCACAGAAAAGGATGTTTCTTCGGGTATGTGAGGAAGGTTGGGTAGAGAATTCAGGGATGGAGCAGACGGCTCTGGTTGGGATGATGAGAGTGGAGAGACAGATCCATGTTCTTTTCAGGTTCCCCAGCAGCTCCAGCTCTCCCTGAACCTGTTACATGGCAGCCTCTAGGCTTCACTTTTGGGGATTGCTTCTGCTTTGAAATAGCCACGTGGAAGAAAAACTACAAAGTTTTGAGGGGAAAAAAACCCCACCTAACTTTAGCTGCCGTTGCGCCTTCATCTGTAAAAATCTTCCCCTTGTCTCATGGATTTCAACGTGCAGTTTGTCTTGGTTTGTTCCATGAAACATCAGATGCAACTTTAATGGCCTCACCCCAAAAAGATAACTTGACAGCCATCAAACGTTCAGCAGCGTTCCAAATACCCTCTTGCTGGAGCCGGCCTTCTACGGGGCCATGTGGATGTCAGGCACACACAATTTGAGTCACGCTGACATAGCTGGGATGCCTGGATTGTGCTGGAATCTCGGGGGGTACCAATCACAGGCCAGAGAGAAGCCATTGGCTGGAAGGAACAATGCCAGAGTGTTCACCGTCTCTGCAGAGGAGGGGGTGTTGGTGGTGAGGGGAAAGACAGTTGCAACCAGAGGAGGAAAATGACCCCAAAGCAGGGTGGGCATATGTCAGTGATGCTGGGCAGAAGCATTCCAGGGGCTCAGGTCATGACCATATCCCTCTCCTCCTGCTCCACAACCAAAGAAATTAAGAAGGCATAAGATTTTCCCTAAAACTTCATGTACAGAATGCCCTGCTGTCTTCAGGGGTTTGGGAAATCCAGGGTTGATGATAGCCCAAATTTATGAAGCACTCACCTGTACCAGACACTGTATCTTACAAATAATGCCTTTGATTCTCAGAACTCCTTAATGAGGTAAGTCTTAAAATTTCCATTTTATAACAAAGCAAACTGAGGCTAAGAAAGATTAAGAAACTTGCCCAAATCCTGCAACCAGAAAGGGGCAGAATCAAGACTTGAGCCACAATCTCTCAAAAGCCAAAGCCTGGGCACTCACTACTACCCTCAACAGCCCTGTGGCTGGTTCATGCCATCTGTGCCACCCCCACACAGCCACCTCTTAGGTGGTAGAGCCCTGTGTGTTGAACAAGTAGAGGAAACTTCTAAAAGGATTGTTTTTCCTCCCTGTTTTCCTGGGGGTTAAGTAGACATGTTTAAACACGCTGCTCTTCCAACGCTTGTTTACTTTGGTGGCTCTGATGTGCAAGACCCCAGATCAGGAACAACAGTAAGAGGGCCTAAGGATAACCCAGCGTGGAGACTACTCTGGAGGAGGCTGCAGTCTGGAGAAACTGGTAGCCAGCTGCATTTTGGAGGCTGGGTTGCATGTCTTAGATCTCTAATGAGTTTGGTCATTATTTTCTCAGCCAGGGTTTTCTTCCTCCCCCCCTCCCTTCCCTCCTTTTTTCCTTCCTTCCTTCCTTTCTTCCGTCTTTTGATTTTCTCCCCTTTTCTGTCTCCCTCTTTTTCTTTCTTTCTCCCTCCCTCCCTCTCTGTCCTCCTTTTTTCCTCCCTCCCTCCCTGTCTCTCTCTCTCTCTCTTTTTTAAAGGTGTAAGCCTTTTTCTGGTTTACTACATGCCAAGGACTGTGCCAAATCGTTCACATAAAACCACCAGCATGTATCACCTTATTTGGTCGTCCCACAGTCTAATGGGTAGGTACTGTCATTATCCTCATTTTAAGAAGAAACTGAAGCTCAGAGAGATTAATTGATGTCTCCACTGTCTGCCTAATTCAGTACCCTGCACCCTTAACTGCTATTAACTAACAACATCCAATAGTACCCTAATGCTGTAAAGGGCACTGTTTTAAATGTGTCCGTTATATCCGCTCACTCACTCACTCCTCAAAACAAGCACAATAGAGATTACTATTATCCTTGTTTAATAGATTGGGAAACTGAAGCACAGAAAGGTCATGTAATTTTCCCAGGTCACCCAGCTAGTAAGTGACAGAGCTGGGCTTCTGTTTTACCGAGGAAGACACTCCTCAGTTTTTGTTTTGTTTTGTTTTTCACTTGAAATCCCCTGTGATGGCCCAGAGTGGAATGCCAGGGTCCTGAGAATAAAGTCTCAGAGCTGAACTGGGAAGGAGTGCCAGTGGCGGCTGCGTCCCCGGCAGCCCTGGAGGGTGGAGGCGGTGGAGAGAGCGACTACACAGCAGCCACAAGCCTGGGCCCCCGCCAGGGGAGACCTCAAAGCCCACTGGAGGGCTGGCTCCCCTGTGCTGGGCTGTGCAGAAAGGCGAGTCGCGGCTTCCAGGAGACCAGCCGATCATGGTCCTCGGGGGAGGAGAAAGACCGAGGGAAGGGCTGGCAGGACCTCAGTCGTCAGCTCTGAGAAGGGCTTCTCTGTAGGAGAGGGGATGTAGGTAGCAGCTCTCCCAAGAGTCAGGCAAGCAAAAGTAGGTTTCTGTTTGTGCAGCAGCTAGGGGATGTCAGGGAGAAAGAGAAAGCCATTCCCAACAGCGCGTAATGTTCAACCCTGGAAGAGGTGACCATGGAGGGGGCCTCTAGAAAGAGGAGGTGGGCCGCCCTTAAGCCGGTCTCTTGATTACCTCTGCCCCTAACCTTTGGGAATGCTGTCCATCTTTGAGCCCCTGGCGCCAGTGACTCCACTCTGTGAATTCCTTCCTGACCAACCATCCCCCACACCCATAAAACTCCAAGTTCTTTTGGGGAACAGAAAGCCCAAGTGCCCTGAGGTTCAGGCTGGTCCACATTCATCCCTGGGTGGGCTGTAGGTCAAACCAGCCATGTGGGTGATGGATGCTTCAGACACTCTGGAAGCTAGCCCAGTTGGTCCTGGTGCCCCCAGTAACACTCACACCCTATTCTCCTACAGCAAATAGACCCTCCCTACTATTCATTTGGCTGTGCGTATTAGGCATCACGTGACCTCACTGGTAAGGCATCTCCTGGTGTTAGCGGCTTCCTGCATGAGTACATTTCTCATACACTCAGACAACACTTGCTGAACGCTTACCATGTGTCACCCACCACTGTAACTGCTTTATGGGGTTATCTCATTTAATTCTCCCAAGCACCCCATGAGTCGGTGTTATTTTTATCACCATATTACAGGGAAGTAAGCGAGGACCCAAATACTCAGTGGCTACGGGATGAACTGGGACTCAAACGCAGTATTGGAACCCCGGCCATCAGAGTCTGTGATTTGTCCCTGGTTTGTGTCGCAACAAAAAGAAGTCAGAGCCTTTCTTACTCCCTTATATCTCCTATAGTTCCTGGTGAGTGCCTGTTTACAGTAGTTCTTCAACAGAGTGTGGGCTTTTACTCACTGTGCAAAGATATTTCTAGTTTGGTTTTTTAATGGTCCATGAGACAGGTGCTCTTAACCGGACAAAACAGTGTTGAATCCTTGGTAGACAAAATCAGGTACTTTTTGGAGGAAGTAAGAGAGAGATTTGCAGGCTATGTCTTAGAAAACTTTGTTCCAAGTCTTTTTTTTTTTTTGTTTGCTTTTTGAGACAAAAGTCTCGCTCTGTCGCCCAGGCTGGAGTGCAGTGGTGTGATCTTGGCTCACCACAACCTCAGCCTCCAGGGTTTAAGCAATTCTCCTGCCTCAGCCTCCTGAGTAGCTGGGATTACAGGCACACACCACCATGCCTGGCTAATTTTTGTAATTTTGTAGAGACAGGGGTTTCACCATGTTGGCCAGGCTGGTCTGGAACTCCTGACCTCAAGTGATCCGCTCACCTCGGCTTCCCAAAGTGCTGAGATTACAGGCGTGAGCCACCGCTCCCGCCCGTGTTCCAAGTCCTTAAGGTAACAAAGAGAAATGTGAGAAGCCCATTTGGGAATGAAGGATGCAGGAAAGCCCTAACTAATTGAGGCAGCTGATCAGAATCTTTTATTAACGGCTCTCTTTCTTTTGTCACCCACTTCCAGGAGATTCTACAACGAAACGGGCAGACTCCTCCTCGTCTCTACCTGTGCTGTCTCCCTCTCTAGTCCTAGACACTGAGAGTGGGTGCCCCGTGGCCCCGTCAAGCCAGATCACCAAGAAGCTCACCAAGAAGACTGCATGCCTTGCTCTAGCCTTCCTAAGATGGGAAAGTAGACTCCTGTTTTTGAGGGAAATTGCCTGATTTTGAGGGAAACGTAAAGGAATTTTTTTTCCCTTAAGTGAACATTCCACTTGTAAAAATGAAATCTGGAAGAACTTCTGCAAACTCTGAGTGTTTTGGTTAATTACCTTTTACTGTACCAAGCAAATCTGAAGCCACCAAAAAATTGGGGAGAAGGGTATTCCCTTCACAAAGGACTTGTCATTAGCCAGACACTCTGGTGCAGTGCTTCTTTAAATAGAGAACATTTCTGATATATTTTATTTATTTATTTAGAGTAGGGGTCTTGCTCTGTTGCCCAGGCTAGAAGGCAATGATATGATCAGAGCTTATTATAGCCTTGAACTCCTGGGCTCAAGTGATCTGCCTACCTCAGCTTCATGATTCATTGGGATTACAAGTGTAGGCCACCATGTCCGGCTCTTTTCCTGGTATATTTTAAATGGTTTCATTTGCTTGAAAGTGAGATCTATCTGTTGTATTCAGAAAATCTGGTAAGATGTACCTGATTGCTTGAGATCTCTAAAAATCATGTTACGTTAACATTGCAAGGGGCATTGAGTCTCAGGTTCTTACTTTAAAGATGAGGAAACTGTGGCCTGGAGAGGTTAATTGACTTATTTAGATCACACAGCATTGTGTGTAGCAGGCTGCCCAGTCTCCAGCTCTCTCCCATTACTGTGCATCTTCTTTGCATCTGAGGTATGCAGGGAAGCTCACCCTCCCAGTCAGGCCTCTCTACCTGGTCCTCAGCTGCCATTGCAGATGTTTAATCATTGATCCCTTTTGTGGATTTCATTGTTATTTTTTCCTTTTACTATGGAAACATTTCAAACATAAAAGTAGATAATATAATATAAATAACTACCATACCCCCTCACCCAGCTTCTATAATTATTAGCACATGGCCAGTCTTTTTTTCTCAATATCTGACCCCAGTTCCCCCTCCCATCCAGATGACTTTAAGGCAAATCCAAACATCATGTCATTTCATCTCTGAAGGCTCCGTGTGTGACAGTGGGCCAATGCTCTCCTACATACATTGATGTCCCAGTACAATTGTCACAACTAAAAAGAGTCAACGATAATTCCTTAATATCATTACCTTTCCCTGATCATCTTCTCACTACATCTCTCTCTGCAATTGGTTTGTTAGAATAAAGATTATCAGGTAGAATTATGAGCTGATCATTCGAAGTCCTTGCATTAGAATTTTGCCGAATGAGGGAAAATCAATTGCATAAGGAGATTTTATAATAATCACAGATCACATTTATAAATGCCATTATAATTCCTAAGTCTCTTTAATCATAACTTTGTTTTTTGAGACCGAGTCTCACTCTGTCACCCAGGCTGGAGTGTGGTGGTGCACTCTTGGCTCACTGCAACCTCCGTCTCCCGGGTTCAAGCAATTTTCCTGCCTCGGCCTCCCCAGTAGCTGGGATGACAGGCACCCACCACCATGCCTGGCTATTTTTTGTTGCTCTTGTTTTATTTTTCATAAAGACAGAGTTTCACCATGTTGGCCAGGCTGGTTTCAAACTCCTGACCTCAAATGAGCTGCCCGCCTCGGCCTCCCAAAGTGCTGAGATTACAGGCATGAGCCACTGCACTTGGCCAACCGTAACTTTCATGTCAGATAGGGAGACAGGTATCATTTGCCTCCAACAGAGGAAACTGAGGCCCGGAGGTAGCATGGAATCTAATTAGTGGTCGAGCTCAGATTTCCCACGCTTCCTGACTTGGCTCTTTTTACTGCAACAAAATCTCATTATAACTCCCATCTCATTAAAATTATAGCTTCCATTTTGTGCAGCTCATTAGGATCAACCCTATTCTAAATACTTCCTATGTAGAAGCTTATGGAACCTTTACGACAACCCTGTGGAGGAGATGCTTGGATTCTCACTGCACTGTTGGGAATCTCAGGCACAGAGGAGTAGAAATGTTTTTCAAGGTCACCCAGCACGAACATTTAAGCCCAGGTCTTTCTGATTCTAGAACTCCTGCTTGCAATAGCTGTTACATGTGAGCATCATGTAACAAGGTGACCGTAATTCACAGCATCGAAAATTCACTTCTATCAACTTTATCCTTATTCTCTTTTAGAATTTGGCTTGAAATGTGAAACAAAACCACATTTTAAAAAATGCTACTATTTCATATATGTGGATGTGATTTTCCTTTATTCAAATTCATGAAAATCAACATGACTCGCAACTGAAAACTGCAGAGCTGAAAATGAATCCAAGACCCTGAACTGTCCGTCCCGGCCTCACTCAGCCGGTGGCTTAGTGCCACTCGGTCCCTGCCTTGGCCTGACCCTGCTTGCTCTGTCTTGTGCTTTCAGGAGCAGTCAAAGCCCTTTTTAGAAAATATTTCCTGATCTTCTGTGGCGTTGGATGGACAGAGTTTTCCACTAGGCCTTTTTTTTTTTTTTTTTCTTCCAGCCACACTGGCCCTTAAGAAGATGTTACTCAAGGCTCCACACCTACTTCAAACATTTTTAGGGGCCCTGTCTGGGGCCTTGCACAGAACTGCCAGGAACCCTACAGAGAGGAGGAGCCCAGCTCTGGGGGCCTCGCCTTGCTCCCAGTGTTTACCGAGCTGCTGCCGAGGTCCTGCTGTCAGTGTGCTGATTCTCTTTCTCACACTTCCCCAAACAGCATAGTCTTGTTAGGCAGCTGTTTCTTGCAAGGCCTTCTTTCAGCCACAGTAGCTTTTCCCATGTTTGTAGCCCTGGTGTTTCACCCCTTCCTTTTTTTTTTTGAAGGGTTTTTCCCCTAAGTCTTTCTGTCACTGAACAGCTGTGCTCTGATATTAGATAGAATGTTTTCTGTCCTCACCACAAGCTTATGAACAAAAGGGTTTTAAGAACCCTGATAAATGAACAAGGTCTCTGGGAAGATGAAATGTTACCAACATTTCAAACAATCAGAATCCTTGTGCATCTCGAAGGCTTTGCCCTTTCAAAGCAGTGCCGGGTGGGTATTTTGTCTTGGAGCCTTGGAGACTGTAATTTTTTTTTCAGTCTCCCAATCGACCTGACATGGGAAAGTTGGTCAGAAGATGGGCCTTTACTTCCATCAAAGCCCTGAGCTTGCTTTCCTATTGGCTGTTTATCCTGCTTTCAGGCCCCTCTGGAGAGTTTCAGGGGGTTCTCTCAGCAAAGAGAGGCCAAGGCTGGGCACTTTGGTTTCTGTTATCTTCCAGTTTCTGTTGAGATTCTATCCTCATCTGAAACAAACTTGTGGACAGCCTTGATTAGGCGCCGCCTGTGTGCAGGTGCGAGCACCTACCATCCTCCTATTCCATCTGCAGAGCAGCCTGTGGCGTCTGCATCGGGACCTCCAACTTTCACAAGTAGAAACTGAGAGTCAGAGAAACGAAGCAGCTTGACCAAGGCTGCCTAGCAAGGTTGTCTGCAACGTGGACCCAGCTTTCCAGCAAGTGGTGGAGCCAGTATTCAACCCAGACATGTTGGACTCTGAGGCCTCTGCTGTCTTCAGTAAGGAGTCCCTGAATGGCCAAGGATGGCCAAAGAGAGGGACTCCTAGACTATTCTGCCTTCTTCCTTCCATGTAGGACCTCCTTCTAAACCAAAGGGGTTCTCCTTTATTTAAACTGTTCACCTTCCCATCTTTGCCCCCCAGTGTACTCCTGGAATGCACATGGTCTTCCTTGACTTATTTTAATGTCAAAACCCCAGGCTACCTTCTCTGCTTCACTAGCAGCCCAATCTGGGGTCCGAGCCCAGACCTTTGCTCTCCAGCTCAAGCCTCTTCCTGGTACTGCCTCACATGGGAACAGAAAGGTCAAGGCTTAAAGTAAAATGACAGATGGAAAGAAAAGCCGTCCCCAGCCTGTGGAGCTCCGTGAAATCCTTCATTATGGGATTTCCCTTGTCAGGGCTACAAGGAGAAGCCTGAAGGCTCACGGCAAAAATCAACAACACATAAAGGCACTGAACAGGCAGGCACTGCTCATCACAGTGAAAACATGTGACAAGCAGTCCCAAGGGTGATGCAGCGGGGCGATGGGGAAGGAGGAGGGGGAGAAGAGAGGGAAGAGAAGAGGAAAATGACCAGCATCGGGATTTCATTTGCTCCCTGCTGGCACCATGCCTTCTCTCTTCCACAGAGATTTCTCCTCTGAAGAAGAGAACTTTTACAAATGTAGAAGAAAGACTGGCTAGCTCCAAGGAAGAAGACAGAAAACATGTGAATCTAGAGACCTAGACACGTCCTTCTCTGGAGATCTTGAAGGCCAGGGTTCAGACTCATCGGCCAGGGAGTTTAGGGAAGGGCCTGCAAGGAGGCAGAGGCAGGGACTCAATGATGTCGGCTCTGTGGATTCAGGAGAGAGGAGTAGTCATAGGTTGCCTTGGGGGCATTCTCATCTCAAGCAAGAGTAAGGCCAAGGCAGTAAGTCCACACAAGGGACCACCAAGAGGCAGGCACATATGGCGCAGATTCCAGACACACCTGTCCCTGCCTGTACCTCAGGCTGCACACCTTTTTCTCATCTCCCCTCACTTTTCCCAGCCTTTTCTGATTTCCTTTACCCTTTGAAGCTTCCTATCACCTCTATGGGAAAATGCAGACAAAGCATCTTTTCATGGGGTTTTCATGTCAATAAAGAAAAACACTTGCAGGACACGGAGTTGATCACAAAGCACATGAGTCCAGCAGGCTTGGGAGGGGCTTCATTCTTTGGAAGAGAAGCAGGGGCAGATTCTGTGCCCAGAAGGGAGCTGCATCCCCTCGGCTGCCCCATGCACTCCCTAAGTGGGGTACCTCCAGGTCCTTCGATGTCAGGGGAAACTATGAAAAGTGCAAAGACGTTTTTGCAGTGGCTTTTGGGAGTATGCTGTGGCACCTCCGGGGGGGGGGTACAGAATGTGTGATGCTGGTGACGGTGTGGCACGGGGAAGGTCCCGTGGATTCCACACCCAGTAAATAGCCACGAGTCCTCTCTATTCTCCATTTCTCCTTTGGCCAAAAAGGGGTTCATCTTAATTATCCTGCTTGCCTCGTACAGAAGACAGGATCTAGGGAGAGAAAGCTTCGAAAGTTCTTAGAAAGGTTAAAAGAGACATGTTCAGT